GAAACCATTTGTTTTGCCGCAAATCTCCAAATGACCTGCCATTACGAGGAGTAGAAAGTCTACATTCCGGCAGGCCAAGCGTTATTTAGTCCCTACCAAAAGAGTCCTACTATTTATCTTCACCTGAGGGAGGATCTTTTCTGAAAGCTAAAGGACAAAGAGCAGGTGCCTGGTACTTAAGTAATATTTACAGATGAAGAGAGAGTTGGAATACCCTAATTTCAAACTAATCACATACATTTATCACAAGATCCTGAAGGATAGAATGGTATACCAAAATATTTTGGTCACCGATCACCGCTACTTTATGAATTAGACCTTAAGATCGGAACCTCAGAATAAGTCAACTAAGAGAAGCATTTGACCCACTTGGAATTCTGAAGAATAACCCAACCCATACACACATATATAAAACACTTTTAAAGTAAGTTTTTTCAACTCGCCTATTCATAATATTGATGGATGAATTGATCAGTTAGGGTTGGGAGATAGATTTATCTTAAACGGGATGAAATACACAAACTATATATAAGCTATTCCATAACTCCACTAACAAGAGGGAAAAACAAGCCCTCATTATGAAAACATAATCTAGAATTCATAAACTATTTGAATAAAATTAACTTTTAATGAATGAATAATGTGGAAAATTTGCATTTGATTTACTAATTTGTTATTTCACTCACTGATATCCTCTCTCTCTCTCTCTTTCTTTCTTTCTTTCTCATACACACACAGATTATTCAATTGAATTCCATGAATTAATAGAAATTTATTAATACAATGATATCCCTTCTGTTCTTTGTTGTTGTTGTTGTTATTGTTGTTCATTAATTTTTTCTTATCGATTATGAATAAGTCAAAAATAAATGTGAATGAACAAGTTCAAGCAAAAGTAAACAGTAAAGTAAATTCGAAACAAAGAATTGTCATCTTACCCGCACTTGTTTTTTCTACAAAAATATAATTCGTTACTTATTTTCTTTTTCAATCGGCGTTTCTTTCTCTCTCTCTCTCTCTCGATTTCGATAAATGCCAGAAAAAGAGCAAGAGAAGAAAAGTAAAATGGTGAAAAAGATAAATAATTAGATAATACACAAATAATTTTGAGCTTGTTACTCATTGACTTCCTATCGATAATGGATATATATATATATATATATATATATATATATATATATATATATATATAATCACTGCGTATTATCAACGATATGGTCACAAAAACGCATAGGTAATATGACAAGAGCAAACAATTAGAGAATAGATAAATGACTAAAAACACAACTTGCTGTTGAGATTATTCGTTTAATCTATTCAGTCTTTAATATCCTACTTCTTGATTATTTTTCGTTCATGTAACTTATTAGTTATAAAAATAAACAGTAAACTAGATTAATAATTAATTAATCGAGTTAAATACCAAATGAAATTGTGTCAGTTTATTTAACCTGTTCATCAGATCAGTTGATAATAGACAAATACACTGACAATTGGATAGACAGACACAGGCAAATAGATAGATAGATAGATAGATAGATAGATAGATAGATAGATAGATAGATAGATAGATAGATAGATAGATAGATAGATAGATAGATAGATAGATAGATAGATAGATAGATAGATAGATAGATAGATAGATAGATAGATAGATAGATAGATAGATAGATAGATAGATAGATAGATAGATAGATAGATAGATAGATAGATAGATAGATAGATAGATAGATAGATAGATAGATAGATAGATAGATAGATAGATAGATAGATAGATAGATAGATAGATAGATAGATAGATAGATAGATAGATAGATAGATAGATAGATAGATAGATAGATAGATAGATAGATAGATAGATAGATAGATAGATAGATAGATAGATAGATAGATAGATAGATAGATAGATAGATAGATAGATAGATAGATAGATAGATAGATAGATAGATAGATAGATAGATAACGTATAATACACTGAATTATGGAATATATTCTAACTAGAAGTTTGAAAGAAGTTGAAAATATACTTGTCAATCTTTATCACTTGTCGGTGAAACATGTCTGCATCTTCAATAAAATACATATTGTTGTTTAAAATCGTTCCAAAAAAACTGATAGTTGCTATTATGATGATATAGTTGATTCGATAAAATGAGTAAAAATTTCAGGTATAGTTGAACTATAATAATTTTCCTTACAGAATCCAAATTCCAAATCCAAATAGACTTGATTAAGAAAAAGAGAATTCAGTGAATACAAGCGAAATACAAGGATACACTGACCAACTAACTGACTAGTTATGAATATATAACATGAAATTAAATTCTTTTTTCTCTCTATTTTAATAAATATAAATTTAACAAATTAATTATCTGAAATATAAATAAAATTCCATGGATCATAATCAGTAACATGTTTTCCTCGTTCTTAGTATTGATCGAATATTATTTACCAAGTTCCAATATGGCCACCAGTTGGAAGTCATTTGTAAGAGGCTCTTTAATGAGATTGGTTTCGTATTTTGAAGGGATTGGTATTCGTAATGAAATTCGAACTATATTCATATCACAAAAACCTTGAATGATGTATGTTCAACTCTTGAAAAGATTCGTTGCACTAGTCACTACCAAACATAGTTTACACACTCATTCCATGATATAACAAATGATTTTTTTCCTTCAAAAGCATATCTGATTAAACTTACGTAGTCTATTTGTTTTATCTACTAACAATGACCATATTTTCATTTACTATTAAAAGAGAAGGAGGATTTCTGTGTGGCACAATTTTCAACTGGTATGTGTTTAGAAATCTCAATAGATTCCTACTTATGTTTTAACTTCATTTAAATACTGAACATTATAAGCATTTGATAAGCTTGAGATGGGTTTGAATACATTTTAAAGATTCATTTTAAATAAGAAGCCTCAAATTCAATGACTTGTAGTAAAAACACAAAGACTGGTGATATGGATTTATTTGACCCCACAAATAAATGGAAGTGATATTTGAATAGGGTACTTTTTATATTATATTTATTTACAATCAGATTTGTATGATTTGAACCTGTTGGAATTTAACATCAGTTGATGAGTAAATTAGTATCATGCTGATAGATTTTCGCATTGACTTAATTTCGCTCTTTTGACCCTTTCATATGACAAAAATACCAGATATTCTTGTTTTGAAAAAAAACTGATGAGAAAAGGAAGTTTTACTCGATGTACTATGCAATAAGTCTAAAGTAGGCGTTAGGTAGTTGTAATTAATTGAGAGGACACCTGAATAGCTCTATGGTAACATCTCAGATTATGAAGTTAGATGATTTTTGTTACAATTTCATGTGGAATATCAGCTCCTTCAAGACTAAGGGTACTGCTTGTTGACGAATGTCAAGGTTTTTGACAGCTATTGCCAACTGCTTAACGACTTAGAATAGTACATGAGATGTTGAACCACTTAGACTAACGACCAAATCGAAAAATTAATCGATAGAATTTATTCAACACTAAAGGACCAGATAAACATGACATTAGTCCCTATTCAATGATCAATTATTTGCAAGTAAAATAATTTACTGCTCTCTAGGTAACTGGTTCAGATATTAACAATCCGTTGATTACATAAAACTTTCAAAATCGATTTGATTAAGCTTTTACTATAAAGTTGAATAAATAATCATGAAAACTGCAGTAGTTCACAATCTCCCGTTTTTTCTCTCTGTACACGATTCGTATTTGAATATTATCTACCGAATTTAATTTGAATACTGAAAATTTGTTTTGGATATAACTGTGAAAGAAAAATTTAATATTTGAAACAGGAAAACACTGAGACAAGTAAATAATTAAATACGTCTTTATTTATATTAATATATATATATATATATATATATATATATATATATATATATATATATATATATATATATATATATATATAGAAAAAAGAAAAGAAAGAATCATCCTCAAACCCCCAGGAAACAATAAAACGAAACGGATTCATCATCAATGCACAAAAATCAAACGAGTAAAATCAGAACTAGAATGAAGTAAGAAATAATAGAGGTAGGCAGAGGTTAATTAAGATATATATGAAGTACATAATGTGACGATATGACAGATATTTGACAAAAATGAGATATTCATTTTGTAAATACAATACGCATTACATCTGTAAGACGTTTGCCTATATATACATAAAGACAGATACATAGATATATAGATAGATAGACAGGCAAACATATACACAGATCTATGTACTATAGTCAAACTGTATTTTATTGTATGTACGCTGTAAAAGATCCTTTATGAAATTGTATATTTGTATAGTTTGAGTTCTATGCATACATACGCGTAATTCGATAATTGAAAGTTCATTTGAAGAAAAAAAACCTAGCTCTTACTCAAAACTGAAGAACAATTTCAAGCATACATACAAACATATATTAATTGTGTATACACCAAAAGATATGCAATCATCATCAAAAGTGGTGATTCTCAACACCAAAAATAACACACCAACACAAAATGAATTGAGAATGAGGATGAGAAAGAACGGGAGATTACAAACAGGTTAAAAGAAAAGTAATATACAGAAGAAAAAGAAAAACAAATGAGAATAGAAATTAACAGTTATCACCATTATTATAAGTAGTATTATTATTAATAGTAATATTAGAAGCAAAGTGTTTAGATTGGTTGAAATATATATCAGATTGTGTATGCTAATTTTCTTTTGGAAATTTCTAATATATACGATGAAAATGAATATCACTGTATTGGTAGTAATAGTAATACTTACCAATAGTATCAATGAGGTAATTCATCTATGTATTTTTGTTTAGGAATGTGGCTTTACTTTTCTTATTTATATATGCACAATAAAGAGAGTATTCACAGGGATAAATGTTTGTTTATCTATCTGTCTATCCATCAATCTACTTGTATATGCACATTTTTGTGTTAATGCCCAAAGTGATATATTTTTATATAAAGTATTCATGTCGATGTGGAAGATGATGAGTTTGACAAAAGTGTAGTAGTCTGAACAAATGCACACAGAGCATAATATTGCATCATTTGTTGTGTAATATTATTATTATTATTGTCATTATTGCTATCACTGTCATTATTTGCACAATTTAAATCATTTCCAAATGACTGAAATTTTTTAATATAGTTATGGATCAAATCGGATTGTGATAATTTTGTCATTTGATCATTAGGATTAGTTAAATTTGTACTGTTCAATAATAAATCTTCTTTAAGTTTATCTAATGAATCCGACATCAGACCATTCGTCGTAGATGTTGTTATGGCAGTAGTAGTAGTAGTATGATGTGGATTACTAGGAGAATTATTTGTAGTAGTAGTAGTAGCAGTAATGTTATTGGTAGAAGAATTGTTAAAGTTGAAGTTTAAACTTGTTTCTTTCCCTTTCAAATTTGTATACTGTAAAAACTTGCGAAAGTCTATATTCATATTAGAATAATGGTGATTGGACAAATTCAATAAATCAGGGTGATTAATTAAATCATTTGAACATGAGTTATTAGAATTATTAGTACTATTTTGTAATGAATTTGTTGTTATTGTCGAGGTTCCAAGAGATGGTGATTTAGATAATAAAGAATTGTTTGGATCTTGTAAACGATTCAAAAAGTATTCCCAAAGTAGATTGTTAGCAGTATTAGATGCTAGCGTAGATGGTGACAATGTTTGTGATGAGGATATTTCATTGAAAATAAGTTTTTGTATATCAGGATATTGATTTTCCGACTGATCTTCAGATGGACCAAATAGATTATCCATGCGATTTGAATCTGATTGAAGTAGAAATAATGATAAAAAACTGATGAACTATTAGTTCTTAATGTAAATTACGTGATATACGATCAGTTTTAACAATTGGTTGATCACTGAGTAGTGGCCAGTCTCATTCCTATTCATTACTATGGTGGTGATTAAATTTTATCGACTATTAGTCTAAATAGTTCAACATGTGAATTGTGTTGAGATTTTAGGTGGTTGGAGGAAGTTAGAGTGGAAATTCACCTCAACCTGAGTCTCGTCCCAGTTGACACTTTTCAGAAAAGCTTACCTGAAATCTTGAAAGAACTGTTATTTCTTATAGAATTCTAGCCCCATCACCTAACTTCATGGGTTGAAACATTATCAACCCGATCGGCACGAAAAGACTAAACAAACATTACACTAATCACTACTCAGTGATCAGTCAATCACTACAGGAATCTAGTCACTATCCGAATAGCTCAGTGGTAACGCCCTGGACTTCGGAGCTAGGTAATAAAATTTCGAATCCCATTGGATGCACAAGTTCCCTCAAGAATCCAGGTAAGCTTTGCTGGTGTGTCAACATCTGCAAAACTTATGACGAGCAGGATTTCTTCTCAACTATCTACAGCTCTCTAAAATGATTGGTTTTGAAAGAACTATTAAGGATCGCAGATTAATGGAATATTCGCTCTTAATTCTTACCATTAGTATACATTTTTGATACTATAGCAGTGAAATTTAACAACCCGTAAATTTTACAAACAGCATATCCTATTGAAATCTTAAATAATTATTGATAATTAGATGTTTTATCACGAGTATACTATGGTGATAAGCCAATCAGATTAAGTGGTTAGCCTTCAATTTTGATAGACATTTAAAATGCTATGATAACTAACTTGTTCTTTACCAAGAGCTTACTAGAATTTACGATTATTCTCTACTTTTAAAATGCAAGAAATCTACTAAAATATGTCTGTTATGCAATCATACAATGAATGTGACATTATATGAAACCCAAGTTACCTAAAAACGCTAACTCTTAATGTAGATTTTATCTGAAGAGGGAAATTATACGTTGAGCGAATCAAACTGATATTAGTTTATGGTAAAAGCATTATCTGGGAAGTGAACTAATCCTCAAAAAACAAATACTTGTTGACCGAATTTGAAGGCTTAACTCATTTTTCCTCTTTCAGCTGCTATTTTTAGAAAATCTTATATATATATACAAAATTAATATTAAGTATAGCGGTTAAAGATAACTAAAATTGATATCGATCGATTAAAAATAACATGAGATTAAATCATATGTTATTGTGGTGTTTGAATGAACTAATGATTCCTTTGTACTTGTTGAATGCTTGATTTCGAATTCCAAATACAGTACATTCGTTTGTACTTATCTAGTACTTCTTGATCCGATTACATTATTTCTGGGATTCTTGGTTCATGCTATAATTTAAATACTCCTAATCATCATAATTATGAACTGAGAACAACAAAGAAATAGTGGAGAACAGAAAGTTAGTTCCACATTGTACATTGACAACGTGGAATAAAGATCCTAAAACAAATCTTAAATCTACTGAATTTGGAAACACTTGACTGACTGGATTCAATGACTCAGTAAACCTACGATGATGCCATGTAGAAAGAATGATTTCAGGCATATTGATTTCGTATTGTTCAGAATGATAATCGAGTAGTATTGAGTAGTATTGAAGTTCATTGTATGATGTCTGTTAGTAATCAGCGTTTATTTTTAAATTGAACGAAATTTTTGTAAAATCATAAAATAAACTTGAGATTAACGGAGTATTTATTCATAGATTGTATTCGTCATAAATTGATCTCAGTTGTGAGACCACTAGAAAACAGAAGTTACCGGATATCTGAGTTGGTCTTAGAATGAGAATTTTCAATAATGCTCACCGACGACCCTCAGGTCTCGTAGAGAGTGTTCAACGGCTAGAACTACCAGGTCAATGTCCAATGGTACAATTCTAAACTAAGTCAATTTTATATATGGCTCAATGATCATACAACACTATTTAGAACAACCATTTCAATCCCTTTATGTTTTCTCTATACTTTTCACTAGAACTTCAGAAACATCCTTTATTAAGTCACTAGCGGACTGACCATTATAGTTCAGTCGAAGGGGTTTTGTGAAGGTTGCATTCATCACAAATTGATCTGTTGATGTACCACTAGAAATTCTATTAGGTTTAAATAACTATCCAATACTCTTTAGTTTCAAAAAAGTACTTTAAGTGAGATCAATCTGTGACGCATACAACTTACAAAATAAACTCATCTTCACGATACCCTTTTCCAACATAACCAAAATTTGAAGTAAACATATATCAACACACACATACAAAAACCGATAAAAAAATGGTGGAATTCAGTTTGTAAATTTCACAATACCCCCCTTCTTTTATTTATCACATTTAAAAACAAATAAATAAATAAGAAGAACAAACAACTTGACCTTCAAAATATAAAATCCACTTCATGGGCACAATTGCCAAATATGAATTTGTATGTTTGTGTGTCAATATTTGTGTGAAATAGAAAGATTTCAATTTAATTTCTCAAATATTTAACACAAACAAATCACCGTACAAACGCATACATGTATATTGAGGAAATCTCAAGTATGAAAAGAGTTTAAACATAGAAATTGGTTGAAAATTAATAGACTGTCATTCAATTAAAACAATTTTTTGTCATATATTACTACAATTGACACTTAAATTATTATTTCTCATAAATGAAAACAAGAGAAAAACCACGAGAGGGAAATAGAAAAAAATGGCAATATCTAATACAAAATCACTTCAGTTTATTATTATTATTATTATTATAAACAATTCATTTCTCTTCATATATATTCAACTTGTTATAAGAAGCAATGAAGAGAATACTGTCGATCATGTAAAAGTTAATTTAAGTAAATTAAAATATTTACTAAGATTAAGATCATTTAATTTCGTAAAAATTTTAATTACTTTCACTATTCTTACACTCATGTGAATGTACGTAAGTGTATTTCTCAAAATTGAGAGATTTCGAAATATGAATAGTTCAATTAAAATGACTTATCGCTTAATTTATTCAAACCTATTCATGACGACACATTTAAAATTTTGAAAAACATGAATTACACAAGACAATAAATACGTTTTAGTTAACTTAAGATTGAAACATTCGTCTAGTGAAATGAGTTGCCTTTTATTCGTCCTATTTACTGGATACCAGTTACAGGTTCTGCCAATCAAAACGAGAAATTTTTAAGAATAATAGAAAATTTCAGTATTAACAAATAGGACATCATTTGTCATATTTATTTTTGGTGAGTTTTTAGTCTACTTAATCAAAATTATAAGTAGCTAAAAAAGGTAAAATTAAAATATGTTTTCTGTCTCATAAAAGATTAACTGTTATTGAAAATCACACCCTCGCTCTCGAAAAATAGTCATAATGTTAATAAGTTATATGTATCTCGGTCCATCCATTCAGTGCTTATTAATTAGTAGACAAACAATTGTACATCTGACTATCAAAGAATTGTCCAGATAATTATGTATTATCGATCTCTCTCTCTCTCTCACTGAATATATGTGATATATAATTATTAATTCGGAATAAATATCGAAAGAAAGACAGAGAGAAAGAGAGACCAAGAAGTAAGTAGCAAATAAAGACAAAGATAGCAAAATTGAAAAAAACCCTTCCTAATTGGTTATTAGTTTTAGATTTATGATAATCTCTATTTTTGGTTTATGTCCTAATTGTTTAATCTATTATCTCGAAGATTTCACTTCACTTATAATTGCGCATATATATATGAAGAGGCTTATGCAAACAAAATTCTATCCTCTTTTTAACTCAAATGCCTTACCATATGACTGACTGTGCAGGTATTTACATAGTCTAATTTCAAACAACCAAAAAACCAAATCAATATATATATATATATATATATATATATATATATAAACAAAGTTGAAATTAAAATGGTAACACAGAAACACGATAAGACAAGACACATTACTTATTTTGTTATCATAAAAAAGGCTACAAAAAAAATTGTAAATTGAATTAAATCCTATAATTATGGGATGTTTCATGTTACTTATTTAAAAATAAAGAAATATATCTTATTGATTTTTATAGGATTGTATTTAGTTGTTAGCTAGTTTGTTTGTTTGTTGAACTGTCCCATTTAGATATTATTGGTTATGATAACAATAACAACAATAGTAATCATTATTATCATTATTATTATTATTATCGTGGACTTTATTAGTTAATTGATGGGTTGCCTTGAGAGGAAAATCTTATTGTGTGAGGAAATAAATAATAGGGAGATTTTAATTCCCCTTTTATATGTATCGATATGTGTGTGTGTACGTGTACTAAGGGGAATTGTTTATTCTTTTCTTTTTAAATTCAATTAAAACTTAATAGACTAAGAAAATAGATTATTGATTTGATAAATGTGACTGTTCATTCTATTGAATTTTTTTAACTTGGTAACCATACTACTCATGTTAATTGTGTTAGCTGGATAGAAACCTGAAAAATTACTCGAAAAAGACTTTAGAAACTGTGAAAATGGTTCAACCAATCAGCGTTTCTTGTGAAACCTCCAAGAGAATCATAGAAAATAGTGGTTTAAATATTATGATCTGTATCAATAATTATTAATGATGTTGCCGTTTTTAGCTTCCAGAATGTAAAAGTTACATATAAACATAGGTATACTATCACTTTCCGTACATGAACTAATCTTGAAAGTAAAATTGCACATATAGTTCTCGCCTTTTACATAGAAAATCATTTGGATCCAAAACGCAATGAATAATCTAAACGTCTAGGGATCGATTTTTGTTGGGGATAAACACTGTTGACGAGATTCCGTCCTAGAGCGAAACAATTATTGGATTATTTTAAAAATTTTAATGATTATTTAGTTAGATAAGTTATTTAACCGGTGGTATAAGCTGTCTTCCAATTATAAAGCCATGAAAATCTCCGTCCATGTCGATTGTTTTTTCGTGTGTTAGACGGTTGGAACTCCTACCCAACATAGGTTTCATCCAGGATGGTACTCATCAGTATGGTTTACCTGATATCTTGATAAAACTTGTGTTCCCCATGGGATTCGAACCCAAATCATTCAGCTTGGCTATCTGAGACATTATGGCTATGCTATTCTGGATCTGACAAGCTTATTATTGGACTAACTCCAAATATCTAACGTAGTGCACATGGTGTTCGGTTACTTATACTAGTAGCCATGTTACAAGTTGACTAATATAATTAACAACATTAAAGAAGGACTTGACATATATGACATTGGTTACTACTCAGAGATTAATTACTTGTACTTTTATGTAAATTACTTGGCTGCCCAAACAGTAGGAGGTAAAGTGGGATTCAAATCTGCGACCTAATAACTGAAAACCAGATGCATTAAATATTAAGGCGTCAGTTCACTAAACAATTTTTCTTATCTTCTACGAATATTCGTCAATATTAGGACAAAGAGTTTGAAAAAAATTGGGCGCCGAGTATTGAAAAAACATTATACGTTAAAATTATGATTTAAGTAATCTCAGTGATTGAAATTTAAATAATTCCAACGTTTATATTTGACTTGATTGTCAAACATTATATATTCTTTGATAACTTTGATTATGATTACTACTTTGAAGAAGTCCAGACAAGTTTGCTGGACGATACACTGGAATTATTTAAATTCATATTTCTCAGCACAATGCACGCAACGTCAAACCATTCAGACTAATGGTCCTATTGAAGCGTTATGGATGAAAATTCGATCAGTAACAACGACTGGATAAATTTTAAATTGGTTGCAAATCGGTGATCCCTTGATGTAAATGTCTTAGTCCTACAGGAGGCCAATGAACGCTCAAGTAGCCTGGAGATAACGTCGCGGTCTATGAAACTGTATGATGCAGACTGGAATCTCAATATTGCAGTTAAGCCTTGTTGATGGCTATCAGCCAGCATGAAAAATAGGTCGTAGATGCCCTCCAACTACCATCAATCACTTAACAATTGATATTTCTATATTTTAATATATATGTATTCTTTGTCTTATCTTTTGTGTATAACTTCCAGAATCAGTTCACTTTCGCGTAACTTACTGTGATATCATCATCTCTTGTATGACAAGCAATGAATAATATTTTGTTTTTGCAAAAAATTATAAACGTAGTCATGATCTATACTCTTGATAAAGACTACAATAGACTAAAATGCGTGGGTACATATATGTGTGAGAGAATAATATTACATTATTAATTAAGAATTTCAGACGTAATTATTAACATGTCTTGTTGATTTCAACTAGCTCTTGTGCTTCCACTATGGATGCGCACAATCTGTCTCTCTCTCTCCCTCTCTCTCAAGCACTAATCACTCGTACTCTTTCGGACTTTCAATTCTTTTTAATCCGTCTCTCTTTAATAAGTTCGACATGTGATTTGTTTGAAATCTTTCTATCACATACACACAAACATACATATAAAGGGAGAATTTATTTCCATGTAAATAAGTAACATACATAGAAGTACACTAAAATACATAAATCTTGGTTACTTTTTTTCCACATGGTTGATAATTAGATGTAAAATAATTTTAGTCATGTAGATGTGATAAGTTTTTGGGCTTAGATTCTTATATAAATTAGTTTCTTTATTGGTCTTTTGTTCTTTGTCATCGTCTTCTTCCTCACCTACTAGTTTTCCTCTTTAATTTTTTAATGAATTTAAATAATGAATTAATTAATCAATGTTGAATTAATGTAGTTCTATCCTTGATTCGGTTTTTCTTTTTGTGTGTTACTGGTTTTTTTGTAATTGTCTTACTTCAGTCATATTTAAATTGTGTTTTTAATGAAGAAAAGAGCGCGCGAGAGAGAGGCTGTCTCTCTTTTTCTGGTATGGAAAAAAGTTAATTTTGTTTTTACTCTATCCTGCTTCTTCTCAGAATAACATCTCCCCCTATGACTAAATGTCTTATTTAGCTTGTGTGTCTGTGCCAGTTTCAATTTGTCTGGTTCCATCATTTATTTTGGAATAATTGATTATCTCGATCTTTTATAATTATTACTAATATCATTACTACTACTACTGCTACTACTACTAATACTTCTTATGTATTTTATAGATAAGATAAACCATGTCACTTATGTCGACCATACACACAAAAAAAAACGGATCAACGTCTATCTGAATCTTTTATTTCACCTCTGTCTGTTCTTACTTATCAGGTTTCATTGTTCTGTTCCTGTTTCACACTCACTCTCATACTTTTTATCTTCTTCCCGTCCTTTAATAAATTTCCTTATATTGATACTAACTATTAACCTTTTCTAAATACATAATCTGTTAGTAACTATCTATTCTTAACACTTATTCTCCTATTCTTCTCATGTCCTCTATCATTCTGCATGTATACCACCTTGACTGATTCTTTTTATTGTTTAACAATAAATAACAGTTGTGCAATTTATAATAATGCATTATGGAGTGACTTCAAATTCGACAATTATCACGAGATAGTTGTGGATGGACACTTGTTAAAGTGTATCATGAAGTGAGGATGAAATAGTCAGATAGTGTTTCTTAATTTTCAATGGTTGTTTAATTTGAGCAAGACTATAATACAAAAATTTAATAAACTTTCCAAATTTATTTATTAATATAGTCTAATTGTCCCCTTTATTGATAATAAGCATTGAATCATGTTCAGTCTCCGTTGGAATATGTACACCTCGAAATGTGGTTGGCCCAATTAATGTATATAATTATTCAAATTTATTTTATATTTTTAAAAACTGTTGCAAAATAATCAAACCAATTAATAATATATATGCTTACTAATTTGTTTATTTGTATCTGATTCCACCTTCAAATCTAGTCCATGCTGATTTAATTGTGTACCATTTAAATATTGTAAATTGAAAGGGAATTGTGGACAGGAAGTTATCAAATTTTCTAAAATTGAATTTTGAACAACATTATCGATCACAGTATTACTACTATTATTATTAGTAGTAGTATTAGTAATTTGAGTAGTATTAGTACTAGTTGTATTATCATTCACAGTATTTAGACATGGATCATGATTACTTCCATTACAGTCAGATAAAGTTGATGTTTTTGTCAAGAGATTTAATTTAGATTTCAATAATGAATTCATAAAAACACCGAAATCAGATAGATTCGTTAAAAATTTCGATACATCTTCAGTAGGATTCAATTCATTCATTGAACAGTTGATCTCATTTAACGGGATTGAAGTAGATGATGAAGAATTGAGAGAATTAGAATTTTTCTTTTCATGATTATCAATATTATTAATTGATTTTATAGATTTTATGAGATTTTGATAAAACAGTTTGGATGATGATGATTGGAGTTTCGCAAATGGGTCATTTATACTGTTATAGTTATCATTATTATTATTATTACTAACATTACTATTATTATTATTATTATTATTGGCTGTAAGCGATAAAACAGAAAATGGTAAATCTCTAGTTTTTGAGTTATTCACTCTCATTGTTCTAGTCTTGTCCATTTCATCATCATCATCATCATCATCGTCATCATTACCATCATCAATATCATTATCAAAGTCATGATCATCAGCATTAACAGGATCACCATGATCAGTATTATCATTATCATAATTATTACTGATATTTTTCATAGTATGTTTACGTTGTTTACAAGTAGTTGGAGTTGATTTTCTACTCGATAAATAATGCTGATAATGCCGATTATTATTTACAGATGATTTAATTAAACAATTTAAATTAGAATTTATAGTTTGATGTTTATTGTTTCCAATAGTTTTTATTGATGATTTATCAAATAATTGTGAATTTATTAATTCTGATGATTTAGTTGTATTGAATAAATTATCATTAAACATTGTTGTTTGATTAGAACAATTCATTAAGTCATTATGAATTGGTGGAGTAATTGATGTTGATGATGGTGATGTTGTATATTTTCTATTATCATTGAGAAATGAAAAATTTCTCAATTGTTGATGATAATTATTTAAAAGATCATTTGTAATCAATGATAAATTGAAATGAGATGGTGAAATTGGATTGATTATCATTCCATCTGTATCATCATTGATTTGTTTATAATCATTGTAATTAGAATAACTATTTTTCTGTTGGTGATGATGTTGTTGCTGTACACTTGAACCAGAAACTCTTTTACGACCTGTTGGTGTCGTTGTTGTTGTTGTCGTCAAAAGTCGTGATTCTAAAATATTTGTTGTATTTATTCGTAAATCTTCTTCATCATTTTCAACAGTTAATAAATTAGATGAAGATGATGACGTCGAAGAGGATGATGCCATAGATGCTGTGGATGTAATGATACTATTGATATTATTATTAGTAGTAGTAGCAGTAGTCAAAGTAGTGTTACTAACATTATTAGTAGGAGTACAAGTATTATTTGAATTATTACCATTGGTTAATAATTGACTACCTTCTTGTTTGCGCCATTTAGCACGACGATTTTGAAACCATACTTGTACACGTGATTCACTGAGTGACAATTTGGACGCAATATCTTCTCGTGTTACAGCGTCAGGATATGGACAATTATCAAATGCTGCTTCTAAAATTGACAACTGTTGAACTGAAAATGTTGTTCTGTAAAATAAGAAACAGATTAAATAATAATGTTTTTGAAAAAAAGTTATATCACATTACCATCATTAATTGTCTGTTTAGAATTTTTTAAATTTATATTTCTACATCTATATCATGAACTGACCATAGTTAGACAACATTTAGAAAAAAACAGGAAGTATTGGACCATAAATTTCGCAAATTTCTACAAACATTTCATACTACTAATAACCACATGTTTACTAGTGATTAGTTTTCAGTATATGTAATCACTGACTGTCAAACTAGGGCGAATAAGTAAGTTAAGATCATCTGGTTACGGTCTGCGGGACTATCGTAACCACTGAATATATTAACCCATTGTATTATAATCCAACAGAGGAAAAACATTGTCATCGTTTGGAAGTAATTTCATGTATATTAGTATGGAGTTGTGAAAATTGTTGGACGTTATTTACATCACGAACTAATATAAGTTAGACAATCACTGAAAACCTAAGAACACTTGACGACCGTCTCATCATCATATGGGAATCCCCCGTAGTACTCATCACTAACTTAACAACCGGGATTCAAACCTGAGTCCACCAATCTCACGTGCGCATACTTAAGTCAGTTCACGATATTGTGCAACCACTTTCGATTTCTTTCTATGGGTTCCGTCTCGACAAGGTTTAATGTTCTGTAGACTGGTGATCATTGATTTGAGTCCCGGTTGCTCATTAAGAGATGAGCACTACTGGAAAGTTCCATATGATGACGAGACGGACCTTCATAGCTTTCAAGTTTTCCATGGTTGTCTAATTTAGATAAATTAGTGATTTCAATGAAATTTCTCAGATGACCGTTCAGTATTGCAAAAGTTCCAAGCTTTTACGCTTATGATTTTTTCTCAGTAGTTACACTACAAACAAACTTCTAACGCTTACATTCATCCTATTTTTTCGGCTCACCGTTTGAATATGCCCACAGTTCATTATTAATGTTCACACAGAGACTTGAATCCAGTACTTTTCGCTTAAAATACCCTATGTATATTTAACCACTGGGCTATTGATTTCAATTATCTATCAACTTCATTAAACAGATATAAAGGTATCAGTAAGAACTTCTAGTACACTTATCCTTCGAAGCCGTGAATATCAATCTCAAGAAATTAAAAATCTTTTCCAAAATATAATTGACTATCCAGACTACATTCATACTGTATTTATAGACATGAAATAATTCTTCAGTCAATTAACACATTTCTGATAATTTTACAAAACTTGACTGACAGAATAAGGTCAATACTATTAAAACATGTTACTATACATGTCAGTCATATATGACTAGTGTCCAATACAAACGAAAAGGCTAGAAGAAGTTAGTGGTATCCACATACACAAACACACATAAACACAAAAGAAACAACATAATGACTTTTTTATGAATGAAATGTTTGTTTTTCATTAAACTCGTACTAATGGTGCAGAAAAGGTGACACAAACATACACATATACATATATAATAGTGTGTAGCACAGCAAAAACGGCATTTAACACTGTAAAAAGCCTATTAACTGAAAAAAATCAAATTTTATTGACAGTAGTAACTCTAATAATAATAAAATTATTATCAGTAATAATGTGACAAAATGTTGGGCAATTAAAGATTCTCGTTGTTTATTTCATGTTTAAAGCGTTTGGTCCCTTTCTATAGTAATATGAACAATGTTATGTGAAGACGCTTATCATGTAGCAGTAATCAAAACATACCTGAAATATTGAAGGAAGTAATCCTCAATGTAGGATTTGAACGCACATAACTTCGCAGTTGTAATGTCTGGAAGCCCGAGGTTGAATAGTGTGGGTTCGAATCATACAAAGACTATCATTTCCGTTAGGATTACACATAAATATTGCTGATGAGTGACAAGTGGCACACAACCTACGTCCAGGGATACCTACTGACTATTATGACTCACCTAGCAATTCAACACAGCTCAGGTGAAGTCAAGTCACTTAAATTGGTGACACATTGTAAGTTGACAGATAAATTTTGATCACCGTTATAAAACTGAATAAATATAGTGTTGGTTACTATTTAGCGATTAATAACTAGCGCACAATAATCTGACAACATACGTTTCCTTATTAAGACAAGCATAAAAAACGATAAACCAAAAAACTAGATAATCGAGGATATAAAACAAACATAAATAATGAGATAGAAGATTATCCACACTATCTTCGGTAATCAATGTCAATATTTATATTATTGCACCAGGATCATTGGAATTATCTTTTTTAAGTACATATAATAAAATTACGAGTTTTCATGTGATAGAGGCTTCACATAAGTCTAAGTATCCGAGCTGCCGATTTTTTCTTACTTAGTACTACTCACACTATTGCTACGACTCCTAAATGATTTCCATTATTCGTCATATATATGCATGCCCGCGTATTTGTTTTTTTGCAAAAATCAAGTCATGAACTGACGTTAGTTAGGGCACTGTGGGGAATCGTGGTGAATTGAACGGTTACCTCCCTTGAAGACTAAGACTTTCAGTGTACGTCAACCATTTCGCCAAGTACTGAACTCAAAACGTTTATCTCTCGTGATTCGTGATATAAAGTATGCCAGTGTTTCTACACCACAAAAAAGCACTAATGATGATGTTAAGTTAAAGTATTGAGTCTACACCTTTATCAATATCAGTTAATTAGTCAGTCACCATCTCTGTGTTCACGACAGGAACTGTCCAAAAAACTTGTGAAGTGAATCAAGTACAGAATTTTCTATAGATCACAATGAATGTATGTGGTTTGGTGAAGGTAAACCATACTGTCGAATAACCTTGAAATGTTATATAGTTTTAGCTATTTAAAAAACAACATATATGAATGATTGAAATATAGTATGAGATCAAAGAAGTTACGGAGAATATATGGTTTTCACGTGAATATTCAACTCTCATAAGTTTATCATAGGTACTTAACCATTAGAATCTATGGTTATGAACATGATCAAGGGTTAGAATTTAGGATAAGTTTGTATATACACGAACTCTTAATCCTAACTCTCACATTGGTTTTGTCTTGTGTTTCTGTACACTGATGTAGAGTTATTTCATTCCCATATTTTCACGTGAGTGTTCTCTTCGTCAATCCAACATTTTATGTACACCGAATGAAGTTTTCTTCACTTCAAATGATCATTATGTGGTCCATGATTGACATCCTAGCTTGATGCAGTTTGGTAAACTACTTTATAGATTTCTAAATATTCCAAAATCTCAAAGTCATTTTTCAACTTCGATTTGTTTGATAACGTAAGTTAGCGTTACCCTTCGTTTAATTATTTAACTATATTCTTCTTTCAACGTTTTGCTATAAAATTACCCTCGTCTAGAGGAACCCATTTAATTAATATTAGTGTGATCATAAAGAATAATTTATCCTTAAAATCCAAATAGAGAATAACGATAACGACAACGACCAATCACAACTACTTACCTATGTCTTGCTTTTTTACTTTTATTGTTATCATTAGTGATCGGTGAATGAATTGTTGGCGGTGATCCAGATGGATCTATTCCATTCATTTGTCCAGATAATGGACTTAATTTACCATGTATACTTTGATCTGATTGATGTGATGATGTTGGATTTAGATTATCTTCATGAACATGCAAAAAATTTTGTCCATTTGAATTATTCATGTGATTAGGATTATTTTCAATACTACTTATATTGTTGTCAGTAGTATTGGTAGTAGTAGTATCAGTAGTAGTCGTCATAGTTGTTTTTGTATAATAATCATCAGAATGCATTAAATTAGGTAGTAGTAAATTATTTAATTGATTTGGAATTATACGATTTGATTTAGCCATTGTTTGAGAGATTGTTGGAAGGAAAAGGGAAGAAAACATGCTTCGATCGATTCGTTCAGATTTTGAAGAGACTAATTAAACAAGTTGAAAAAGACATTTATGTATATCAATGTGTATATGTGGTGTGTGTGTGTGTGCATAGAATATGAATAAATGGATAGATGAAATGAATGAGTCGACAATCGATCGAATAAAAATAATTTTTGTTTAACAAATCACCGACCAGATGTGACAGAATGATGAATGAAGAATACACATTTATATTCATATACATATTTTTTTGTATTTATGGGAAACATGAGTAAATGAGATAGATGAGTAGCAGACAAATTAATTATAAATTCAGTGAATATTTGTATATATGTGTATATGAAATTATTGACGAACGCATAGATGAATGGATAGATGAACAGTGAACCGAATGGATAAAATAAAAATAAAAATAAAGAAAAAACTATAATTACTAATAATAAAACAAAGAATAATTGAACAATGAACAATCAATAAAATATTTAGAATATACGAATTAGTAATTTTGTTTACCTTTACACCATTTTTGTTTATAATTAGATTAATCCGTCAGCTTAGATGTCCCAAATGAGTAAGAAACAATAGAGGTGTAAATAGGTGACTAGAGAAAAACAGCTTAAGAGTAGAAAACATCAATAATAATAATAGTAATAATAATGATGGTATTATTATTGTTCGTAGTAGTATTACCGTTACTGATAGTTACCTGACCAAATGTTAATTATGACTCTGGAATACCGGAATTAATAACTGGAAGAAAACTTTTGAAATGTTAGAGAAGTATTAACTACGAAGACTAAAAAATAAATGATGAATTTAGTGAATTGATTCTTAGAAGCAAAATTTTAACTAATAAACTAAGGTGTAATTGACTGAATGAATGGATGTAAGTTATTTCTCACGTATATATCATTTTATGTGTTATTATATGTTTCTCTTAAGGAAGCCATTTTAGTTTTTCTCTATTGTACCGAGTTTTGATATCACTTCGGAAAAAAACGAAAAAAATGGTTTGCATAAGTGATTTTCTCACCACAAATTGAAAACTATGCAGCACTAACCAACTGGATTAGTTGTTTGATTCCTGTGTGTGCGCTCGCTAAATGATTTTACATGGGGTTGAATTCAGGGCCGTTAGGTTCCTTGATGAGGATAATATCATTGGATTACAGTGTAGAAATTCGTTTGATCCATATTTATAACGTACACCAGATGTTTATACTATAGAATTAAAGAGCACTAAAATTCACTTCTCACTTAGTCTGAATAGCTTCATAATGGATTTATTGGAGTTATTATTAAAACTTGCTGCTATTTCAGACAAAACGATAAGAGAAATTCTAAAAGATTTTAGAGTGATGGAGTTTTAAAATACGAGATATAATCATCGAATACCAACCATTACCTAAGATTTTCGGGTCGCTCAGCGGAAACTTGAATCATTAGGATCACTGAGTCGAAGACCAATGATATAACTATTAATTTTCGATACAACGAAACAATCATTCAATGATATTTATGACAGGCACAAATCTGCACTTGATCTTCAGAAAGTCATTGGTGAGTAGACTGAAATGGAGATGATAAATCGATTGATGTTTAACCACCGTTGAAAACCTGGAAACACGGAATAGCCGTTTCGTTCTATTATGGGACTCCAATTTTTCAATGGTGGTTTAACATCAATCTATTCATTATCTCAATCACAAAATTAGCAATCTCCACCAACCTATACTGATTAACTGTTTTTGTCTAAATATTTAAATTTTCGGAGTATTTATTTTTCTCATCATTTTCTGAAGCATAATTTTCAACATTTTCTGAATTATTTCAACAGAAACCTCTCAAATTAGATTTTCATCCATTGAATTCTACCTTCAAAAGCATAACATAGTAACTGGATATATTTATTAATAACTGGTTAGCTTCTTAGACCTTCTTAGTTTTCGGTGATTGTCTAATCAATATAATGTAAACTATGAAATATATACAATAATAATTTACACATTATTTAGATATGATCCATCATATTGAGTTGTATCATCGCATAAAAAAGTCGACTTTATAAATTTTCCTAATTATAAAATGTTCACAAAAGTCGTTTTTTTCCTGAAGCACATAATGTTTTCAATAGATATATTTACGAGAAATAAATAATATAAATATCTGTAATAAAAAGATTAGTTAATTATTCATTTTCATTTGTATGCTCTCGATATTAATTGAACGAGCATTATTATTATTATTATTATTATTATTATTATTATGCCACTCTACACAAAACTCGTTCATCTCTCCATCCTGAATTATTCGTTGTAGACAATTACATGTATAAGCATAATATGTAAATTACACATACACTCAAGTGCAGTCGTTTCACTATCGCCTATTAGAGTGCATAGTGTATACAAACACACACAATATATATATATATATGCATTATTAGATGTACACATTAATATTATTTATACCTAATTAATTACTGCTTAATTGCTGAACAAGCATAATTAACCGACTTATCAAAATGTTAAATATTATTACGGCAGCGAGAATAATTAAGGCCAAATACAAGAGAGATAGCGAGCAAAGAGAGTATATATATATATATAATGTATATGTGTGTATGTGTATGAGACGGAGGTAGAGAGATAGACAAAATAATAAATTATTTAATTAAATTCAACTAATTGAATTCTGTCACTTAACCATTTTAAAATTAATTATCATAATCATTATAATAACAATAATAATAATAATAATTTTTAATAATTATTGTGATAAATTATAAATAGACACACATAAATTTATATGCAAAAATGTCATTAATATTCGTTTTAAAATAATTTTTGTAGTGCTGTCAGGGGAAACTTAATTTTCGGCAGAAAATTATTAATACGCTACTAATTATACCACCAGTTATAATAATAATAATAATCGTAATAATAATAATTATTATTATTATTACTAATATTTATTGAAGAATTAGTTGCAATAATTGTGATAGATAAATATACATTTAATTCCTGTAAAATATTTGCTACAAACATATATCATTTGAAAAAAGTATCAATAATTAATTGGCTGATAAACTATGATAATAATTATATTATTATTATTATTATTATTAATTGTTGTTATTATTAAAATTAATATGGTTATAATACTGGGAAATAAGGATTTTATGTGGTTTTAGTCAGTGTATGAGTGTCTATGCGAATCCAAGGACATATCGGTGTGTGTGTTTGTTGTAGTTTAACCATACTTATTGCTGACCAATAGAAACTAAGGGAACACTGAACTTATGTTTCTTTGAAGTATCATGGTGGATAGGAGTCAATTTAGATGGTTTCATCATGATTAGAAACTATTGGAGAATTATTTAAATCTAAAAAGCATTAGGTGTGGTGTTTCATCATAGTCTGAGACTTTATGTTAGTAATACGTATCGATTAAGGCGTTAGACTTTTAAAAATCAGAATCTTTTGATAAACGACTGAAGTAATAAATCACTAACAGTACTGAATGAGAGTAATGTTATGTTACAGATTGGCTGGGATCAAAAATATTAACTTTATTGTATCCCAACTCACCGGCTTGTTGTACGGTAAATTCAAAGGTCGATACTGATAATGAAGCTACAGGTTAAGTTGAAAAATTAGTCAATACAAAGAAAGTACAAACATAAGTCACAATGAAGAGAAACACAGACAAAATTATCACCTACGCATTGGTAAAATACAAAAAGTTTTCACAGTTTTAGTCACGAACTGATCTTCACTGAACGCCACTATTGAGAAACAGGAATAACTGTAAAGCTGCTTCGTTCTAGTATAGAACGCACTTATCAATGCACATCCCCTATAACTCCAAAGAGGATCGAACCCAATTAGCTAGTGTCAAATGATGTTCACTTCTGACTTTAATCAACTCGCAATAGTACTGAACTATGTTCGATTGCCTGAGGTAGATAACTGTCTCACGTTTGATACTTATAAGATGAACTGGTTCATTTACTTTTCAACAAAAAGAGAAGATAATTAATGAATGTGAAAGATTACAGGCCTGGTTAACAGATATATATATATATATATATATATATATATATATATATATATATATATATATGTTTGTAAGTAAGTAAATATATTTTTATTTGTAAATAAACATAGATACATAGAAATAAACAATTTTATTCAATAATAGTAACAACCAATTTAAGAGTACTTTATACTCAGAAAATTTTTATTATTGATGCGTTACAAGAGACAGAAATGAAAGCATAATGTGATGTTCTGCATTAGAAATTACTTTAAAAACACCTATCCGTATATATTACATGATAAAATAAAGCATAGCATAGGCGAATATTTAAATATTAAGTAACTAAAAATAACTATCAGGAAACTTGCTACTTTGGTTTAGTGCTTGTTCCCGTACGTTGGAAAAAGCTATCTAGGATCTTGAGGGAAATCACGTACTCTGTGGGTTTCGAACTCGGACCAACCAGCCTCAAATTTGAAAGCTATACTATTTATCAACTGAAGCAGCCTTTGACCTTCTGTAAGATTGAGATATTTAAATTAACTGATCACCAATTGCAAACAGATATCATGTTTGTCCAGATCTTAATTTTCATTGAATGGAATCAATCAAATTCTAACGTGACAACTAATTCAGACTCTCCTGACAACTATCCTTAGCCATTTGACATCTAAACCTCTTAGTCTAAATATTACGATGTCGATTGCTATATAACTGTTAACTGATGGACAAGAGTTCTTTCTTTATTAATTCAACTTCAAGTAGCTACAACACTTAGTTAAAATTCATTCATTCGTTTGTGAGACATATTTCTTTTCCTCAAGAAGTGAACACTAGTAATAATAGATGGGGCTTATTGAACCAATAAACTGCGGTGGCTATTAGTTGAATGTTTTGACTAAGACATCATTTTCAACTCAATCATTAAAAAGTTTAACAATTTTAAAATGATTACTTTCATACAATTGCAAAGGTTCATAATTAATTCATTTGAAAGAGA